GTGACTGTCGCCTGGTCGTATACCTGTTATCACTCGGCACCGTGGCAACAATGACACAGGAAAGTTTACCAAGCTGGGTGTTTTCCGGACGCGTCTTGCGGCACAGTCACATGAAGCGCGATAGTGCCGATTGGAAAGCGCCGAACATTGGTAGGCTTCATACTAGTATCCTGCTGTCGCTGCCACGGCACTGCTCCAGCTGTATACTCAGCTTGTTCTTCCGGAAACGATTTGTTACAGCAGCGCTCGACTGTGACTGTCGCCTGGTCGTATACCTGTTATCACTCGGCACCGTGGCAACAATGACACAGGAAAGTTACCAAGCTGGGTATTTTCCGGACGCGTCTTGCGGCACAGTCACATGAAGCGCGACAGTGCCGATTGGAAAGCGCCGAAAATTGGTAGGTTTCATCCTAGCACTGGCCATCGCCGACCAATCCTGCTGTCGCTGCCGCGGCACTGCTCCAACTGTATATTCAGCTTGTTCTTCCGGATACGATTTGCTACAGCTGCGCTCGACTGTGACTGTCGCCTGGTCGTATACCAGCCATCACTCGATGACACGGGAAAGTTACCAAGCTGGGCACATGAAGCGGGGGGTTCCGATTGGAAGGCTCCGGATGCTCTTGCTCCTACTCCTTCTCCTGCTATGATGATGATGATGACGATGACGATGACGATGACGATGACGATGACGATGATGATGATGATGATGCCGAAACCACTATCAGTCGCCGTCCGACGCTCCTGGGGTGGCGGCTGTCGGTCCAGGGGCTCCCGCGGGATGGTCCAATTTGCAGCTGACAGCAACAGTGGAGAAAGTCTCTTTGCTTTGGGGCTGCTGGGCTGAGAGTGTGGATTCGGCATCGAGGTTATGGCATTTAAGTTATAAGGTTTGAAGAATTGCCTGGATTCTTTTCGTGCGGTTGGGGTCCGGAAACTTGGACCTTCCGCCGTTCAGGGCTTTGAGTCTCATCTTGATCCGAGCACGTTCCCTGTGACCTCAAAGCCGTCTGCTGTGTCGAGGCGACGGACTGGTCCCAGCCTTCCGTGCTGTTGTTCCGCTCCAGCATGTCGACAGCACTGAGGAACACCTGCAAGCGGAGGTGCCGGCACTGTGGGCGTCTGACTGGTGGCTTCGGGGGTACCGGAACTGTTTGCCGCCGCAAGTGTGCTTCGAGAGTTTTCTTTTCCGTGCTCACATACGTGTTGTGAATTGTATGCTTCGGTTGACCAGGAAACGTTGGACTGAGGCCTTGGCCCGAGTGCAGCTTATAACCAGTTCATCTCAACTCTGTTTCCCCGCGTCAACCGGGCAACTTCCCCAAGCCTGCACTTCAGTCATGGCGGCAAAAAGTTTCTTCTGGCCTCTTGTGCCAAATCCAGGCCATGCTCAAACTCGATGGCCGGCCTCGGGTTGCATGGCTTTCTTAGCTCACGGACGACTTTTGGATTTGGGACTCAAGCTTAGGATTTCAGAATGGTCTGACTAGTGGGCTCCGCTTCGCAGCCTCAGCAAACAACATTCACCAGTTCTTGTTCCGGTAGTTCGCAGGAACCGGAAATGACCCACACGATGCCTTCTTTTCGCAGAAACTGCAATCGACAGCACAAAAGGAGTAGATGATTGGCAGGGAGTTGCAATTGCCAGATGTGCACAAGATCTGAGGCTCGGTTGTGGCTGCGCGAGCACCAGACAGAAAAGCGTTAATTCAGGCAGCGGCGGCTGGAAGTCCCACCGTTTTAATGCCACTGCTACGCCATGGCTGACAAGCAAGCGTGGTGCAACGAGAATCGTTTGCACTGTCGGCTTATTCTGCTCAGACTTAAGTGAGGGCGATGCTCCTCCGAATTGGTGATGCCCGAGGCTTCGCTGGACGTGATTCGGCAATCCATGCGTAAACTACAAGGCTGATGTCATTTCTCGTGGTGCAGAACCTGCCGTTCTCAGCACGCAAACGCGCCAGCATCATGAGCATCACTCGGTTCCCGTTGCCCCATTCAACCCTTGGTCTGACACAATACCTTTTAACATCGCAGAACCGTCCAGGCTCGTCACCTGTCAAATCCAGCTCCTAGTGGAGTCTGGCCCCGAAAATGTGCAAAAGATGCCCACAGGGGGCGCTCCCCTTTTGCAAACTTCAGTTGATAAGAAACTAACTCAGTTAGGCTCATGGGCTAGCTTTCGTGACATGTGTGCATGTAGGACAAGATAGCCAGACAGGAATCAAATCACGTATAAAAATGTATGCAAGCATGAGCCCTGCGGAAGCCTCCGGACCTGTTCGCCTAAGTGCGCGACAACGCATTGAGCAGCATCGCAACCACCCCGAAGTAGCAGTCGGCCGCAAATACCTGCATCCCAACTCCACAAACCAGTTTCTAGTTTGGTAGCATTCTTCAAAATCCTCGTCTCGGAAGAGCCTAGTGTTCAGGAGCGGCACAGCGGCGCGCTCAGCTTAGGACAGGCAACTTTAGGGATTCACTAGCCTCAGAGATCATGCGGATGAGATTTCCAAGTGTGAAGATCAAGAGCCGACTAGAACCCAACCTCCTGCACTCGCAACAATGCCAGAAGCCACAAGCGCAGGCCGTTTTCCGAGAAACTTGGCGGCCTGCGATGCGCCTGCATTTTGCATTCGGACCCAGAGGTTGTAGAAGGTGTAATGCCGCTCGAGCCTCAGGGTCCTACGTTGAAGACCGATTCCGGGTAGAACTATGTTCTAAATCTCCAGAAACTTCCTACTTATCTTGCTTGAGAGATCGATTTTTTGCGAGCGAAAGCAGGAAGAAATCTCTTCCCAGTCTCTTCACGAATCGGGCGCCTGGCATCCTTGGCGTGGAGTCCAGCAGCCTAGGCAGACCCTGGCCCTTAACTAAATTTTGGACGTCTTAAGCAAAGCTGCGAAACCTCCTCAAACAAGCTACATACTCCCTGGTCCTGGGATTCACATGAACTGTCTGGAACTGAAATATGACATCCACCAGGAGGCGCACGTGGGACTTGATGGGTCGCAGTCGGGACAGAGGCCAGTGTCAGACTTGACAATCGACTAGATTCAAACGCTCGTGTGCTTCCTTCAAGCTGCTGTGCTACGGAGGATGTAAATTCAAAGTCGGGGACGTGCTCAAGGCTTTGGATTGGGCCTGCCCCCTCTGGAATATCTTTACTATAAGACGAGCAGAAAACACCGAGACCCTCAAATTGCGGGACGAGCACTGCAAGAGCACTCTGTCCCGTCCCAGCAACTATCTATCAATGAGGTCGTCGCTCACGCACATGATAGTTTGATGCGAAGGCCTGGCCGTAGGAAACTAAAGCACTCATGAACAAAAGCTCTTTCATGGCTCTCCGGCTTCAGCGCGGCACTTGATTGCGCCAAATACCCGCACCCGATTCTCACGTGTCAACACTCATGCTGAACTACCCTCCTGTTTTCAAACACCTCTGCAAGCCGCGATGAAGCACCCTCCCAGGCCTTTACATGCTGCCAGAGGCTCCCGTCGACCCTGTCGGAGGAGATTTCGTGGTCTCGAACTTTGGGCTTCGGAACTTGTGGGTGTGGCGGAAGCTTGGAGGCTTTTGGTCAGGACCATCTAAGCCACTCTGTGTCACATCCCATCTGCTGGGGCGCAGAGCGTGGCCGGTGAGCCGTGACAGCAGCTGAAGGTCTGCCGACCTGAATGTCCAATGCCGGCGGTTAGTAATCACTGGCAGCGATGATGGTGGTGGTCGTGGCGGTGGTAGTGCTGGTGAAGGTGGTGGTGGGGGTGGGCGGCGGCTGTGGCAGTGGTGGTGGCGGCGGCGGAGGCGTAGGCGGCGGTGGTGGTAGTAGTAGTAGTA